CAGTGTCACTCGTCACAGTGTCACTCGTCTCAGTGTCACTTGTCTCACTGTCACTCGTCTCAGTGTCACTCGTCTCAGTGTCACTCGTCACAGTGTCACTCGTCACAGTGTCACTCGTCTCAGTGTCACTCGTCACAGTGTCACTCGTCTCACTGTCACTCGTCACAGTGTCACTCGTCACAGTGTCACTCGTCTCAGTGTCACTCGTCACAGTGTCACTCGTCTCACTGTCACTCGTCACAGTGTCACTCGTCACAGTGTCACTCGTCTCAGTGTCACTCGTCACAGTGTCACTCGTCTCAGTGTCACTCGTCTCAGTGTCACTCGTCACAGTGTCACTCGTCACAGTGTCACTCGTCTCACTGTCACTCGTCACAGTGTCACTCGTCTCAGTGTCACTCGTCACAGTGTCACTCGTCACAGTGTCACTCGTCTCGACGCTGCTCATCTCATCTCTGCGCCGGGGCTTAGAGCGGACGCGGCGAGTCCGGTGGTGATGGCTGAGCCCCCACTCCCGGGATGAGAGCAGCGCAGCTCCCGTTCACCCCGAGCCCCCCGCCACCGCCGTTGTCTACAGACAGAGCCGTCGTCTTTATCGTCCCATGGGGGAGTCGCTCCGCGTGGAGCAGCGTCCTGTGGTCTTATCACGACCCTCAGAGCTGCAAGGTGGTGGGGGTGCTGGTGGGGGTGCTGGTGGGGGTGCTGGTGGGGGTGCTGGTGGGGGTGCTGGTGGGGGTGCTGGTGGGGGTGCTGGTGGGGGTGCTGGTGGTCCAGGTGGTGGTGCTGGAGAGGGTGCTGGTGGGGGTGTTGGCGCAATATTTATTAATTAATATATTTCACCTTGAGATGGATCTTGTTGGTAAGGGTGTCTGGTGCTGGAGAGGCTGTTGTGGCACTGGTAGTGATGGCGGTGAGGGTAGTAGAAGTGGTGGAGATGGTGCTACCGGTGTTGGTAGTGGTGTTCAAGGTTGGTGGCGCTGCTGCTGATGACGTTGGTGGTGGTTGTGCTGGCCATAGTGGGGGAGTGGTGGTGTAGCGGTTAGCGCTACACTGTGCTACGACACCGGCGACCCGAGTTCGATTCCTGCTCACGGCTAATGCCGCTGACGATTATCTGAATCGGTCCTGGGCCTCCCCTAGGTTGACTTAGCCTCAAATGAGTACCTCGTGCGGTGTGTAGTAAACATCACCGCTGGGGAGACAAAGGCGGTCGGGCGTGGTGCTGGCCACCCACCCCCTCGTGTGCCGTGCCGGCCTTCGTAGGTGCTCGCTAACAGCACTTGCCCCAACAGTCTGCCAAGGCTACACGGGAGATCCTTGTCTGTGGCAACAGCAACGGTGGTGGTGGTGGCGATGCTGCTGATTCTGCTGGCACCATCACTGCTGCAGGAGGTGATGGCGCGTGGAGGATTGGGGTTGTGGTGTCCGTGCCTGGCTTGGCGTGACTCATCCACTCCGCGCGTGACGCGTGCAGGAGATCCCCGGGGTGGCGGGGTGGGGGGAGGGAGGGAGAGGGAGGGAGGGAGGGAAAGAGAGAGACAGAGAGAGGGAGGGAAAGGGGAGAGGGAGGGAGAGGGAGGGGAGAGGGAGGCTGACTTCTTGGAGATGTTGTAACCCAGGGGTCGGGAACCTTTTTGACTAAGAGAGCCATGAAAGCAAAAAATTTGGAAATTTATTTCAGTGAGAGCCATATAATATATTTTAAAAGTGAATTCAACTAAATGTCAGTATAATAAGCCTCTGAATTTATTCTTTTAAATAATGTTGTTATAACACTCACCATTAATGCGACTTCTGGTGCTGCATGGATTTGCTGATGTCTTTGTAGTCGGGTTGGTACTTGGTGAGGTTAAGCTTCATGCAAGCGTTGAGGCTTTCATCCGTTAAACGTGATCGTAGGTTGGACTTGATGTTTTTAAGATGTGAGAATGACTGCTCACATGCATACGTAGATCCAAACATGGTCAATACAGCAATACTCACACGCTGCAGTGTGTGGTATGTGACAGGAAGCGCGTTCCAAGTTTTGAGAATCAGCTGGTCTTCGGGTTGGAGTTTTTTCATTTCTGTCCACATGTGCTTGCTCGCCAACTCCGCTTTCTGTCGTGTGATTCTTTCCAAATCTTCATTCAGTGACTTGAACTTATTCACCCACATGTCTGAGGCCTTCAGGTCAGCCACTTCTGCTTCAAAATCTCTGACGGAGACACCAGGGATGTAATTCAGGTCGGCTGTGTTCAGTGAACACTCGTTTGGTTGGGTGATGAACTTAAAAAGACGAGTGTGCTCACGAAATTCTCCAAAGCGTGCTTTGAAGGACTGTAGGAGACTGGATGTGCAGCCAGCTAGCTGGTGGAGATCAAGGTTTTGAATGGGCTCACTTGCTGTGCATGCATCTTTAAATTGGCTCAGTTTTTCAAAATGTAGTAAACGACCTGTTTCAAGATCCGTGATGAAAAGCTCCAGCTTGTTTTCAAAAGCAAATACAGCTTGTTGAAGGGATAACACTGTATTTCCAATGCCTTGCATTTTCACGTTGAGCTGGTTCAGATGTTCAGTCAGATCTACGAGATAGTAAAACTTGAGGAGCCACTCGGTGTCGGCTAGCTCAGGATGCCCGACGCCTTTCATTTCAAGGAAAGTCCGGATTTCGTTCAGGCAAGCCGCAAAACGGCTAAGCACCTTCCCTCTTGACAACCAACGCACATTGCTGTGCAAAAGCAGACCAGGATAGTTATTTACAACTTCATCCAGCAGTGTTTTAAACTGGCGATCATTTAAGGCTTGGGCAACAATAAAGTTGATCACACGAATGACCAGCGACATCACTTCGCCAAACTGCCTGTCACACATCTGAGCACAAAGTGCCTCCTGGTGTATAATGCAATGGAAACTTAGGATGGGTCTATTTTCATGTTCACGGAGAAGCGCCACAAATCCTTTGTTTTTCCCCACCATACACGGAGCACCATCAGTACACACTGAGAGAAGTTTATCCATAGGTAGACTTTTTTCTTGAGCAAACTCCATGAAAGACTTGAATAAATCCTCACCTCTTGTGGACCCTTTTAATGGCAGAACAGCAAGACTTTCTTCGCGCAGTGTGTCACCAACAGCATATCTTGCAATCACGCTGAACTGCGACAAATGGCTCACGTCTGTTGACTCATCCAAAGCCAGAGAAAAGAACGGCGCTGCATTTATGTCCTTCACTTGCGTTTCCTCCACTTTGTTTGCCATCACGATGGTACGATCATGAACAGTTCTTGCCGACAGAGGCATGTCTTGTATCCGTTTGATTATCTTGTCTTTGTTCGGAAGATCATCAAAAAGTTAATTGGCTACATCCAGCATGAACGTTTTAGCATACTCGCCATCTGTGAATGGTTTTCCGTTCCTCACTATTGCTAAAGAACCAGCAAAGCTAGCCGAATTATAGTCACCTTGCCGGGTCCATACGCGGAGTTGCTGCTGGCTAGCTTGCACCCTGCTCAGAAGCTCTTGGCACGCTTTCTTTCTGCTGTCTCCCGCAGGGTATTTTGATGCAAAGGTAGCGTGGCGCGTGTCGAAGTGCCGCTTTACATTCGACCGTTTCAACGGTGTAATTTTGTCATTGCAAATTAGACACACCGCAGAACCCGCTCTCTCCACAAAGGCGAATTCTTCGGTCCATTCGTCCTGAAATGTACGATACTCGTCGTCTTTTTTTCTTTTCGCCATCTTCTTCGTCGAAAGGGTTAGCTTTGAGCTAATGACCGAGCAGACGCAGTCTCAGACTGATTCAAAAGGGGGCGTTTACCTGTTTTACCCAGCAACGGCAAACGTAGGCCAGTATCATCCAATTAAAATAATGGACAATTGCTCCTGCAGCCCTGAACAGGACATGCGCAGTGAAAAATCGATGGATGGATTAAAACAAGTGAGAATATTTTGTTTTATCTGCGAGCCATATGCAATCATCAAAAGAGCCACATCTGGCTCGCGAGCCATAGGTTCCCGACCCCTGTTGTAACCTGACACACTGTGGCTGTGCGTTGAGCACAGCCACAGTGTGGGAGAGCGGCTGTGTCAGTGCTTGCACACGTTCCTACCTCGTTCCTACCACGTTCCTACCTCGTTCCTACCACGTTCCTACCTCGTTCCTACCACTGTCCTACCACTGTCCTACCACGTTCCTACCACGTTCCCACCACGTTCCTACCACTGTCCTACCACTGTCCTACCACTGTCCTACCACGTTCCTACCACGTTCCTACCACGTTCCTACCTCGCTCCTACCTCGTTCCTACCTCGTTCCTACCACGTTCCTACCACGTTCCTACCACTGTCCTACCACTGTCCTACCACGTTCCTACCACGTTCCTACCTCGCTCCTACCTCGTTCCTACCTCGTTCCTACCACGTTCCTACCACGTTCCTACCACGTTCCTACCACTGTCCTACCACGTTCCTACCTCGCTCCTACCTCGTTCCTACCACTGTCCTACCACGTTCTTACCACTGTCCTACCACTGTCCTACCACGTTCCTACCACGTTCTTACCACTGTCCTACCACTGTCCTACCATGTTCCTACCGCGTTCTTACCACTGTCCTACCGCGTTCCCACCACGTTCCTACCACGTTCCTACCTCGCTCCTACCTCGTTCCTACCTCGTTCCTTCCACGTTGTTACCACTGTCCTACCACTGTCCTACCACTGTCCTACCACGTTCCCACCACGTTCCTACCTCGTTCCTACCTCGTTCCTACCACTGTCCTACCACGTTCCTACCGCGGTGGCTGAGCGGCTCCTCGCAGTCGCGTTCATGATCCTGGTTTGGGGGGTGCTGAGTGGGTTGACTCAGCCGGGTGTCGATCAAGCGTGTACCAACTTGCGTCAGCGGGCTGACTCCATCTCAGAGCACACCACTCTCTCTCGTGTCTCACCTGTGTCTCATGTCTTCCCCACGTTTGCCCGTGTCTTCAGTGTCTCCCAATTGTCTCTCCGTGCCTCCCCAGCTGTGACGGCGTTCAGCAGAAGGTTCACGTCTCTGTGGTGACGACTCCGCGCCAAGGCGAGTTGCTCCACGTGGAGGCGCGCCACCACCGCCTCCACCACCACCGCCTCCACCACCACCGCCTCCACCACCACCGCCTCCACCACCATCGGCTCCACCACCACCGCCTCCACCACCACCGCCTCCACCACCACCGCCTCCACCGCCTCCACCGCCACCGGCTCCACCGCCACCGCCTCCACCACCACCGCCTCCACCACCACCGCCTCCACCATCACCGCCTCCACCACCACCGCCTCCACCACCACCGCCTCCACCTCCACCACCACCGCCTCCACCGCGACCACCACCTCCACCACCATTACCACCCACGCCGCCACCACCACCACTGTACGTGCGCGGTGCTACAGTGAGGGAAAAAAGTATTTGATCCCCTGCTGATTTTGTACGTTTTCCCACTGACAAAGAAATGATCAGTCTATAATTTTAATGGTAGGTTTATTTGAACTGTGAGAGACAGAATAACAACAAAAAAATCCCAAAATACGCATGTCAAAAATGTTATAAATTGATTTGCATTTTAATGAGGGAAATAAGTATTTGACCCCTCTGCAAAACATGACTTAGTACTTTGTGGCAAAACCCTTGTTGGCAATCACAGAGGTCAGACGTTTCTTGTAGTTGGCCACCAGGTTTGCACATCTCAGGAGGGATTTTGTCCCACTCTTCTTTGCAGATCTTCTCCAAGTCATTAAGGTTTCGAAGCTGACGTTTGGCAACTCGAACCTTCAGCTCCCTCCACAGATTTTCTATGGGATTAAGGTCTGGAGACTGGCTAAGCCACTCCAGGACCTTCATGTGCTTCTTCTTGAGCCACTCCTTTGTTGCCTTGGGCGTGTGTTTTGGGTCATTGTCATGCTGGAATACTCATCCACGACCCATTTTCAATGCCCTGGCTGAGGGAAGGAAGTTCTCACCCAAGATTTAACGGTACATGGCCCCGTCCATTGTCCCTTTGATGCGGTGAAGTTGTCCTGTCCCCTTAGCAAAAAAACACCCCCAAAGCATAATGTTTCCACCTCCATGTTTGACGGTGGGGATGGTGTTCTTGGGGTCATAGGCAGCAAACCTCCTCCTCCAAACACGGCGAGTTGAGTTGATGCCAAAGAGCTCCATTTTGGTCTCATCTGACCACAACACTTTCACCCAGTTGTCCTCTGAATCATTCAGATGTTCATTGGCAAACTTCAGACGGGCATGTATATGTGCTTTCTTGAGCAGGGGGACCTTGCGGGCGCTGCAGGATTTCAGTCCTTCACGGCGTAGTGTGTTACAAATTGTTTTCTTGGTGACTATGGTACCAGCTGCCTTGAGATCATTGACAAGATCCTCCCGTGTAGTTCTGGGCTGATTTCTCACCGTTCTCATGATCATTGCAACTCCACGAGGTGAGATCTTGCATGGAGCCCCAGGCCGAGGGAGATTGACAGTTCTTTTGTGTTTCTTCCATTTGCGAATAATCGCACCAACTGTTGTCACCTTCTCACCAAGCTGCTTGGCAATGGTCTTGTAGCCCATTCCAGCCTTGTGTAGGTCTACAATCTTGTCCCTGACATCCTTGGAGAGCTCTTTGGTCTTGGCCATGGTGGAGAGTTTGGAATCTGATTGATTGCTTCTGTGGACAGGTGTATTTTATACAGGTAACGAGCTGAGATTAGGAGCACACTCTTAAAGGGAGTGCTCCTAATCTCAGCTTGTTACCTGTATAAAAGACACCTGGGAGCCAGAAATATTTCTGATTTAGAGGGGGTCAAATACTTATTTCCCTCATTAAAATGCAAATCAATTTATAACATTTTTGACATGCGTTTTTATGGATTTTGTTGTTGTTATTCTGTCTCTCACTGTTCAAATAAACCTACCATTACAATTATAGACTGATAATTTATTTGTGAGTGGGCAAACGTACAGAATCAGCAGGAGATCAAATACTTTTTTCCCTCACTGTAGGTGAGAGGGCACAGCGACGCTACCACAGTCTCCGTCACGCTCAGTTCAGGAAGCATGCCTTGAATGTGAAACGCCTTCATCTAGTAGCGACTTTGATCTCAGTTTTAATCATTGTTATGACTTTCTGGATTTCATCATGACTTGCTGGATTCACGTGAAGATACTTGTCGCGGTTTCAAGTAAAACTCCGCGTGTTATATGACTATATATCACTATATGTGGCTGTGAAAATCAACATTTGTGTCACCGATGCTGGTGGCCGTGAGCGGGAATCGAACCTAGGTCGCTGGGTTCTGGGCGAAGCACACTGACCGCTACACAGCGGCTCCCAGATGCACCAGCTGTGACCCCGACTGTGCCACTTTGCTGTGTTTTAGTCGTCCGGCGCTCCACTCGTTGTCGTTAGCGCCGCTCGCGCAGACGCTCACTCACACTCTCACTCACACTCTCACTCACACGCTCACACTCACATGCTTGCTCACACTCTCACTCACACTCTCACACTCTCACAGTCTCACACTCACATGCTTGCTCACACTCTCACACTCACTCACACGCTCGCTCACACCCTCGCTCACACTCTCACACTCACTTACACCCACATGCTCGCTCACACTCTCACTCACACTCTCACACTCACACCCACATGCTCGCTCACACTCTCACTCACACTCTCACACTCACTTACACTCACATGCTCGCTCACACTCTCACTCACACTCTCACACTCACTTACACTCACATGCTCGCTCACACTCTCACTCACACACTCACTTACACTCACATGCTCGCTCACACGCTCACTCTCACACTCACTTACACTCACATGCTCGCTCACACGCTCACTCTCACACTCACTTACACTCACATGCTTGCTCACACTCTCACTCACACTCTCACACTCTCACTCACACTCTCACACTCACACTCTCACTCACACTCACTTACACTCACATGCTTGCTCACACTCTCACTCACACTCTCACGCTCACACTTACACGCTCACTCACACTCTAACACTCTCACACTCTCACGCTCACTCACACTCTAACACGCTCACACTCTCACTCACACTCTCTCACACTCTCACACTCGGAATCGAACCGGTGCCCCTTGTCTTTGTTGTGCGAGTGGCGCGAGCGGTGGCACCGCTGACCCTGTGCCACACTCACTTACACTCACCCCCACCCTCCCCCGTGTGCTCCGTGCACAGCGAGCGTGGCGCGACGTCGCGGCCCCCCTGCCACCGCCCTCCCCCGGGCCCCCGGGACGCCGCGCCCCGGCTCCCAGCGACGCTCACTGCGGTAAGCGAGAGGCTTGGGCGGGGCGGGGGGGGAGTGAAGGGGAGGAAACTCAAACTAATAAACACAACTTCTAGCAGGTAAGGCCCCGCTGAGCTACGTAGCTCTTTCTTCAGAAGCCCTCTGACCTGGCTATCACGAATGATAGCAGCTCGACGAAGTGGCTTGTCGTCGTCGTCGTCACGTGGACATTTGTAGCAGCGCATGAACACTCTCAATGCCTGATGTCGATTCTCAATGCCGAGGGAAAAAACGTGGCCACGGTGAGAGGCACAAGCAAACTCCAAATATACAGCAGCAGGCATCAGGGTCCGCATCGAACCCACGACCTCCTGCATACCAGGCGGGCTAGGTAACATCTTGACACCCAGGAGAAAGCCTTCATCCAGCAGTGATGATGATGATGGTGGTGGTGGTGGTGAGCGGATGGGAGGATGAGCCGCATCGTAAGGGAATGCATTCGGAGAGGATACAGACGTGGCCTCAGCGAGAGGGTGAAGCACTTGTGAAGGGGTGGGTGGCCGGCGCCACTCCCGGCCGCGTTTGTCACCCCGGTGCCGATGTTTTCTCAATTTCGCCGCGTACTCATGGCAGGCTAAGTCGATGCAGGAGGAGGCCCAGGACCTTTTTTCAGATATCCTTCACTTGATGACAAAGCTCAGCGGGGAATCGAACTCGGGTCGCTGGTGTTCGAAGGGAAGTGTCCTCACTAGTGCGCCAGCGTTCTCACAGACGCCGAATGGGAATCGGAATGTTCATTTAGACTGCCGGAGGAATCAGATGAGCTACGAAGCTCTTATTCACGGCGTCGAGCTGGCACCGGCCCGCTGTACCTCGTCGTCCGGCGGCGGTGGCGACCCCACCGACACCAAATTGATCGGTGCGCTCGGAGCGACGGGCCGGCGTCGTCCATCCGCGCGGTTTCAACGCGTGGACGGGGGCGTGGACGGTAAATGTTTTCTCGCCGCGACCGTCGCCGAGGGAGCTGCTGCGATCTGGTACGGTCCGGAGCCGTTGTCGTTCTGAGCGAGGGAGTTGGGATCGCTGCGTTCGGAAAATAAAGTTTAACGCCCGGGGGGCGGGGGGGGGTGGTCTCGAGAGCCGTGGGGCCGGCGTCGCCGCCGGCTCGGTGAAGGAGAGTGGAGGCGGGGAAGTGATGGAAAAGGAGAAAGGGGAGAAGAGAAAGAGTGGGAAATGAGAGGCAGAGGAACGGAAAATGAGTGGAGCAACGGGAGCAGTGGGTCGGTGGAGGCGAGGGGTCGGTAGGGGGAAGGGGAGTGACGTGGCCGTGGTTTTTGGTGTCGTGTCCGCAGGGTTTTAACGCGGTGCGGATCGCCGCCCGGCCGGAATCGACGGCGACGGTGGCGGCGCGGATTCTGGCGCGGCGCGTTTCCTGGAGCACCGCGACGACGCCTCCCGCCCTCCACCACGGTCGTCCCGGCCCTCCCGGCGCCGGAGGGACCGGGAGGGCCGGGACGACCGCCACGGTCGTCCCGGCCCTCCCGGCGCCGGAGGGACCGCGTCGTCTCCCACGACCGCCCCTCCCCCCCTCCCCCAATGACCGCTCGCTATTCGAGCCGCTCAATTAGACAACAACGTCGGAAAATACTTTTACAGCGCATTTATTTTTACATCGTGTATATACATCTCACGGTTGGCGGCGTGGCCCTCGCAGCGGCGGCTGTCGCTCGTCCGTTCGCCGCGACGGAAAGGGTGGCGGGCGACCTCGCCGGCTCCCGCTCTCCCCCTCGCCGGCTCCCGCTCTCCCCC